ACTAGTTACCCAACAACCAAGCTCAGAGAACCCCAAGGACTCCACAATTCAGAAGACTTCAGTGAGAAATAGATCCCAAACTTATTCAGGACTCAGGATCTAAATTCTGAATCTTTAGCACTGGCATCATTCTGACTCCCCTCTTGAGTTCAGAGGAGCTTCAAACACTGCTCTGCTGTTTTTAGCCCATTACAAATGATGTTGGTCTTGGCCAGATAACAAAACCCAATGTTCTGTCACTGATAATGTCAGGTTTCTACAATAAACAGGCTGGAAGCTCTGCTGAGCTGTGCACATGGTGGCTTAAAAGATAAGCACTGGTTTTGCCTGGCATCTTTGGGTTATCTGATTGGTTGACAGAAATGGATAAAGTTTTATCTGAAAGTGATGCTGTTTCATCAGAATGCCTCCCGGCTAGAACAAATTGCTGGTTGTAAGGCATAACGCAACCAAGGTGGCTAATCTGTGGAAGAGTGGATTCTGTCCTGGCATGAAATGAGACAGATTTTTCCAACATTAGCATCCTTTGTTGGTCTTTGGGAATTTTGAAATGCTTTTCACCAATCTATCGCAAAGATAGGAAGCCTGTTTTTGCAACCGGGGGCTCCCTTTTGAAAATGCATTTTCTCCATCTGTGAGGACTGTGGGAAGCTTAGGGATGACAGCTGAGGGATATAGCTGGAATTTCTAGCTCTTATTCCATGTTTTGGGAAGAGCTGGGTATTTTTTACAGAAAGAAGATGGGTATGTTACGCCTATTGGTACAGCCTTTCTAGTATATGTTTTGGGAAAAATTAGCAAAGCCTCACATGACTAAAAGTTGGCAGTTGGCCATTAATTGTATGTACCAATGCATCTAGCTTTTACAATCCAATGGGTCTACATTTTACAGTAAAACATGGGTGATAGGTGGGAAATTTGGGCCTCCTAATTTTATGAGCCTGCATTTGAACTCTGGGGAGAACATATTTTACCACCATCTCATTTTTTTTCTCCTGTTAATTATGTATCACACTCCCCAATGAATGGTAAACTGGTATTTCAACCTCCTTTCAACTTTGCAGAAATTCTGAAAAGCGTTGGTTAAAAAAATGCTGATGAGTAATATCTCCTATTCTCCTTTTTGTATTTACTTTCCTCAGGATTTTTCTATAATCCACCCCATTTCAACACATTGGAAACCAACCTTTGGCTCTCATACACATCATTTTCAGAGTCAAGAACTATGCTAGACAATTTTAAAGGGTCTTTGAGGTGAGTATTTGCCTATTTTCTCCCCTCCCACCCACCCCAGTTCACCAAGGTGGCTTAATGTGTATATCTTCTGATATATCTGCAAGAGGGTGTAAAACAGAACCTTCCAGGAATTCCTTCACTGGATCTGTTCTTGCAGAAGCTGGCCAACCATGTATCAGAGATAGTATAATTTGGATTCTTGCCCTGAGTAGACAGTTGAACTTCACGGTCTCAATGCCCTTTCCAACTCTGAGATTCTATCATTCAAGAACCAATACTTTTTGGACGCTTAATTCTCCATAATGATCTTAAGTTCTACAATCAAATTACTTAATAGGTTTTGATCCCCACCGGATCTTATACCATAATTCCCAAAGCTGGTCCATTTGCTTCAGAAGCCCACTAATTGGTTTGCAGGGTAGATCCCATAAAGAAGAAGGTGGCAGACCACTTTCTTCTGTTTTCAAAAGAAAGTGTAGCATTGGCTGGAAGACACAAATCTTGTTCCCTGAAACCTAGTTGTCTTTCTGGGCTTGTCAAAGTAGAACAAGGATAGCCAAAGGCTTTTCAGATCTTGATTAGGAATGTGTGACTCACTAAAAGTTTGCTGTCTGTGTTGGTAAGGACAATATTGATAGGCTGGTCAGACTGGTTTCAAGTAAAATACTAGATCATTTTGTAACTATTTCAGGGATCTCTTTACAGAGGCTTTCTGTGCATCTTCCCCTCATTTATTTAACTATTAACCTAAATTGGCCAACACCTTTCAATGTAATGCAAATTGGCTTCCTTTCCTTCTTTGACACAAGTTTTGAGACCAGTTTTCTCCAACCTGGTTGATGTGGAAAAAAACTAAACAGGGTCAGATGTGATTAACACTTGGATGGGAGACTTCCAGAGAATCCCAGACTGAAAGCTAGATTGGAAAGTAAAATGTCATCCAGAAGAAGGCGATGGCAATCCACTTCCATATTACTTCCAGAAAACAACACATCCATGTTCATGTAGCGATCAGGAGTCAAGTTCAAATCAAGGGAGAATTTAACCTCACTGCTTACTCACCCAATTTATTAAGGACACAGCAAAATCAGATTTATTTTTGGAAGCAAGCTGGGAAGGATACGTTCCAAATCTTTAATTTGACTGCAAAACTACGCTGGCTAGAAATGAATGTATTTTCTATTAGAATTGCCCTTTATTACTTTCAGCTTTTATTAACAAACATTTGGCAGGGATACATACATCCCCGATTAAAAGTCATTCTTGGTGTCACTTCTACAAACATCTTGGCAGTGAAACCCATCCATATTCTGTTCCAAAATGTCCTGCCGGTTTTATTTTTTTTCCAGTTTCACTTGGCTCTTTGGGCTTCCTGCATGCTAACATTGCCAGCTTGCAGCAAACCCCCCGTAGAATAGGAAGAATCTATTTTTGTAAGGTTGGGGGAAGAAAAAAAAAACATATAAAGAATGTACAAATTCAGACATGGCAAACCATGCAAGAACCAATCGGGGCAAAGGATGTGAAGCATCATTGGACATGATGTAAAATAATAATGTTTTTTTAAAAGCTGCAAATAAGAGAGATGGTGTTCCGTGTGGCAATGGGAAGATTTATATGAGAAAGAATACAAAGGTTCATGATAAACCGTCCTTTTGCTCCAAACAGAAAGCTGATAACCGTTTCGTAAGCTGAATCTGACTTCATGTTCCTGACACACGAAACGCAAGGTTCATTTTCCATCTGGGTTTTGCACACAAACATTCACAATCACACATACGGTCCAGGATTATCATATCTTCTTTGAGAAATGGTTGGAGTAAATCTGAGAACGGAAGAATTGTTGAAATCTGAAGGATTTTTAGCTTTGGAGTGAAAACGTTTAATCTGTTGAATCACTCGCTTTGAGGATGAATGTCCTTCATTCCAAAAAAGCAACCCTTGTGTAGGGTTGTCCACAGGAAGTATGGAACGACTCAGCCAGATTCCTTGAACTGCAGCTAGTGGAGATGTCTCCCTTTCACAAATCTTGAATTTTCTGCTAAATGAGTGGGTGGAAGGTGCATGTATTGAGAGTAAGTCAATGTGTGTGTGTGTGTGCAAGAAGAGATACAGAAGAGTAAAAAGAGCAGCCAAGAGAGGAAGCTTAAGTTGTCTTAAATTATAAGACCAGCGTAGGTGTGAAAGACCCAAACGCAGGCACGCACATGGCATCCTGTGTTTTTACACAAGTCTCACTGCCCAGTTCTTCTGGTTTTGGATCGTTATAAAAGGCCGTGTTTGCTTTTTGAGTTAAATATACACCAGTCCTAAAATGATTTGGTTCAATACATGCCAGTCTTGAAATGTTTTATTCAAACAGAATTCAAGAGAGAATTGAATGGAAGAATTCAAGACTGAGAATTCACGTTCTCGGTCACAACTTAACTGCCAGCCTGCCAAGTGCTTGGTTCAGCTGTTCTGAGCAGTGACTTTTGCTTTAGCCTGAGAGTCCAGGTGTGTAGCCTGTGGCCTTGGGGGGTGGTGGTGGTGGTGGTGGTGGTGGTGGGAAAACCTCAATGATGCACCACCTACCAACCCAGCCAAGAAAGTTGTTGTTAGGATTTCTCCCCCATGAAGCCGGAAACTCAGTGACAAACTCTTTTGCCCCGCAGGGTTCTGAGTTCCCTAGTAATGTTTGGATTTCAGCTGGTCATTCCACAGCCTTCCATTGAACACAGAAAGGTAAGTGGTGCGTATCACGCAAGTGAACAGCACGTATTGGACTGTTTTGCATCTCTGCATGCGTTAAGGTCTTTCTAAGGCAGTTTGGGCAGCTAGCAATGTTTCTGTGGTCTTAAAATGCTGAAATGCTCATAAAGTTTGATCTACAGCTTTAAGTTTAGTTGTATCTTGCTTCAAAAATGGCAGAAGACCTTGCATGCACCGTACTTAATGGGGATGGCAGGGTCCACCAGAAAGTGGGCTGGAAGATAGCCGGAATGGTTGCTCCATTCCAGGAATGGAGAACTGGACACGCGGCTGCAGCCTGGGGCAACATTGGTAATATGGGAAGACCTGCAAGTGAGTGGTGCAATGACACGACACCCTTTGCTTTGTTCCTGGATTATCCCACGTTTTGAGATTGCAAATACACTAAACCATAAACTAAAACTGGTCATCCCCCTCCACCCCCCAGGCTATTCTAAGCCATTCAAAACCACCTGGATTTCAGAGAAGTGTGTCTTAGCAATTTTGGAGGAAATTATATATTTGATTAATCAGAAAATGTCACATTATCCTTCCCTTTGGGGGGAAAAAAAATATTGGACAGGCTTGGTCAGCATTGAAAGCTTAGTTTTTTTTTTTTTTTAAAGACTTACAAGATCAGGTGAACTTGGGATATAATTATCATCCCAGTTTTGTTTGTTCTTCTTATGTATTTTCTTGTGCAATGTTTTTCTTTCCTTGAGTATTTGTGTATGATAAATGGTTCATTTCTATTTTATTTTACATCATGGTTCTTTGCTTGAAAATGGATTAATGAACGCTATCAAAGTTTTAAAAAGAATAAAAATAACCCACCTTGCTTAAAACGAATCAGACTTCGCCCCTTGAGCAAATGTATCCAGCAGGTTTGTGATGTGGAACCGCTAGACCCGGCTTCATGCATGACCCTGAGCTACAGAGGATGTGGGTTGGTTTGGGTTGAGCGTGTTGTCTGAACCCCGCCAAGGTTAAACAGAGCACAGGCTTCACACAGTAGGTAAATCAAGCTGGTGGCATCTTTGGGAGAAATGAGTTCAGCATCCTTTTTTGTTCTGTATCCAGGCGGCCTCTGAAGTGGAGGAAAGATCAACTTGCACATCTGATCCCAGCTTGAAATTCCATTTCAGTTTGAGCTGAGGCTCAGCCCTTCAAAAACACGCTGATCTGGCTGCCTAATCCTTCCTTGAATGTACCTTTTTTCCCCCCCCCATCCTTCAGAATCCACCTTTTGTGGGCGAGCAAAAGGCATTTATGTCCTGAAGGCACATCAAGATTCGACGCGTGGTCTTTAATCTCGTGGTCGGGGTGGGGGTGGGTGGGGGGGAAGAATGCCATTGCCATGCGCTCATGGCTGAGAGACGTAGCCTTTCCTTCAGAGGTTGTTGAGCCTTGTCAGCTCCATTGTTCTGGAAGAATATGAGTGCCGCGCCAAGGTGCCAGCGATTGTCTCCATCGGTTTTGTTTTTGGCATGGGTTAAACAGGGTCACCAGCATTTGAGCAACTTTTCTTTTCAAAACGTGTAGAGCCCTGACTTGCTTCCTGTGGCTCAGCCAGACTGGCCTCCGTTCCTCACAGCAGATCACAGTTTAAATCGCTGCATTGTTTTGGTGGAGTGGGCTGAGGTAGTTATTTATCCGGTCTTCCCCCTGGGCCAGCCGTGGTGAGAGGACATCGTGATGGAGCTCCCCTCTCTGCCATTAAAAACCAACAGCTAATAAAACTCAGCTATTAAAGAAAGGGGTAGCCCAGAAAGAACGGTGATGTCCAGAGCTGTGCAAAATGTGCCCTTCTGAGAATGTTTGCACTTCCCTAGTCACTTCAGTCAAAGCTCTTCTCCTGCTCTGAGTTTCTTCAGCTAGAGACTTTTCTGAGTTCTTCTCAAAAAGATGAACCCAATTCACTCCACCCCATGTTTCTGGCTCTGGATCAAGATTAGCTTCCCTCCTGTTCAAATTGCTTAATGTTGGCAATCCTTGCTAGTAATTTTATCCACCAGCTCTGAGGAGAGGGCATCATCCATAAAAAAAAGTTGACAGGACAAGTATGTTCTACCCTGACAATGGGATTCCTTGCATTCATAGCAATGAAACAGTTTTAAAATCAACCAGCCAATCTGGAAGAACACTTAAAAACACATGCCAGGGTGGGTTTTTTGTTCCAATTGGGTGAGGACTGAGCTTGATCCATAGAGACTTCAGCATGGATTCAATCAAATGGATTGTGATAAACCAGTGTCCCCTCCTGCTCCCCAACCCATATGTTTTCCCTTAAGCATAAACACATGCATGGAAGTTCTTAAGGATCAGAGGGGTTCACCTTTGGGTATGGAGGAAATGCCTCTTTCTCCACTTCCACATCTGAATGGCTCCAGTCTTGACTGTGTGCTCCAAAAGAATAAGCTTAGAAGACGTTTCAAGCTTATGGATGCATGAAGATCTGGGCGACATTTGTTCAGAGCTGTTTGTCCTCTCCAAGTCCTTTAAGACCCTTCAGATGTGTTGGGGCTGGTGATCTTTTCCAGGCATTGCCAAGTTTTGAGGTCTCTTGATTTTCATTTGCACACATGTGGTTATGACTTGTTGACTTGCCAGATAGTTTTGATGAAACAACCTCAACTGTTTTAAGCATTTTGACTTGATAAAAATGGCACCCTTGTTTTGGAGGTGGGGGGGGGGGAACTATATCTCCCCAGATATTCTCTGGATCACCATCCAAAGCCAGACTCTCAGAGTGGTTGCTCTATCTGTTGGGGAAAATGTATTAACATCGTTGGGTGTACCTTGGTCAAGTACAACATCCAGTTAGAAAATCAGTACTGCTGAGGCCTGACAATATATTTGGATCCTTGTACAACCAGTTAGTTTTGGAATAATTGTGGCTTCTAATCCCATAGATATTCTCTCCTCAAGGGCTTACACACAAAGTTCCAACAACTATAGATCAAGTTGTGAGACTTAGATTTTGTTTCTTCCAAGTCTAATGGAAGTGGCATTAGAATGTAAAATGCTTGTGAACGGCTGTCTTTTAGTAGAATATTTGAATAAAGGCCAGAGCCAGTGCACAGGTTTGGGAAAATGGATGGATGTCTTGAGCAATTATCTCTCCATTATTTCCTGCTTAGCATATATATGAAGTTGACCCTGTGAAGGCATAATTCAGAAATGCAGAAAGGAACGTTAAGGGAGACTCTCTTGAGTGGCAATTAATATCACTTTTAACCATTCAGTTTTGGGGGGTGTTTTTTTTTTTTAATGGGAAATCCTCCAATGCTGGCTGATAAATAGCCAAAGCTGAATTAATGGTGGTTGATTCAACATTTGAAAAATGGATTCTAGTTTTGTAGGTCTGCTTAACATTTAACCTCCCTTTCCTGCCTCCCTTCTCCATCCTTTAGCTGCAAATCTCATAATTCAGAGGCTGGAAAATCCAGCCAGTCAAGGAAAAGAGCTGTTGAAGGATGCGGTGTCACGCAGATTAGTTACCTCTTACTGGCCCCAACCCAAACAAGCCTGTATGCATCAGCCAGGTTGGTGCGCATGTATGGTATTTTGCTCCTCTAAGCACCACCAATGGCCTTTTGGCAAAAGAAGGGCGCAACTTCCTCCTCCCTGTCCCCAGCAAGCAGAGTAATTGAGGTCTGTACAAAGCACTCTGGCTGTTGCTGACGTTTATGTGTGGAGTTGATGCTTTTCAGACCATGCTCCCAGTTTGAAAACCCAAAATATCTGGTACTACCTGACTAGATATGTGATGCTTAGAACCTCCCTTCTGCGGTGGGGAGAGGTTTGGGGGCATGTTGGGTGAGGAAAGGAAGAGATGTTCACCTTGAAGGGGAGCAGGTTCCAAGCAAAGCATTGGCCAACTCCAAAGGTTTTTCCCATCTTCGATGGTGGAAGAGAAGTGTTTTGTTGCTCTAGAACAGCGTTTCTCAACCTTGGCAACTTGAAGATGTGTGGACTTCAACTCCCAGAATTCCACATCTTCAGGTTGTTGAGGCTGAGAAACACTGCTCTAGAACATGGATGACCAACTTCTTTAGGATAGGGGCAAAATGCTAGCACACAAATATTAAAGGCAATTTAACTGAATTCAGAATGAATCCAATTGACCCTAAGTATATATGGTTAATATGTTGGGTCACCATGTATTTAATACGTTCTCCCCTCTTGAGAACTGTATAAGCTGTTGGGTTTAAATTACAAGAAGACTTGTGATCAGTGGACTTTCTGATGAAACAAGTGATCTTTTGGGCAACAGACTAGAGGGTTTTAACAAAATGCTGGGGCCTGTAGTAAAAGCCCAGTAGAACATATATACTATACGGCACAGAGATGCTTGCTCTGAGGCTGGGGTTCTTGCTTCAGGTAAGATAAAATATAAATTGTAGGTCTGTGCATCAGATCAGAAAGCAAAAAGGTGCTTTAAAGGATATGGGGAAGCTCTAGTAGTACCTGTCTGCTACTCCTTAAAATAGCTGCATCTTTTCTTGGGATCATGCAGCTGCTCTCCACATTTACAGCCTTGGAAAAGATGCCTCTGCTTTAAAGAGTTGCAAGCTGGAGTTACGTGCATGCACTCAGGTGCTCTGAAGCACCTTTTTGTGACCCAATTATAAGCATTTGCACAGCCCTAATAAATTGGGAATGCTCCTATTTTGTTCCTCCTACCCTTGCTGCTCAACAGTGCTTTATTTTTGTGTCGAAATTTTTGTGTCAAAATTTCAATTGATGGGGAAGGGAACAAGACAGACATTGGAAGGGACATGTGTGAAAGTCACCCAGACTTCCCCCCCACTCATTTGATGTCATGACTATTAAATGGGAAGGCACATTTTAAAATGGAGAAACATCTGGGCTGGATTGACGGAAAAATCTGTGTATGTATGTAACAAATAAAAATGACACTGAATTAGCTTATGCTGTTAGAATTTTGGCAAATCCTTCTGTCTTGTCAGGGTCATTTATACATGTTCAGTAGTTTTCCTTGAGACCAATTTGGGAGGTGTGGTTTGTGGGAATCCATGTTGCCAGGATGAGGGCTCTGTGTGTGTTTATGTGCTTGTATTGTGTACTGCTGCTGTAGACCTGTTGCTAATCGCTGCCAGGCAGAGTTCAAGCAGTTGCTTTTTGGCCTTTCATATTTTGGCATCCTTGATTCCAAAGTTACTAATTCTCCTAATTTCTGAATCTCTCCCAGCTTTGAAAATGAAGCTCAAAAATTCCTTTAACAGACACACTTGATTAATTGTGTCTTCAGGCAGGCAGAGTCCCCAAAGCTGGTCCATGAAATTACCAGCATCTGTGGGACCAATAAAACCATCCCCAGATTCCTCTCTGTGGACATTGTTGGTCGCATCTGGTGGCCAAAAGCATTTCAGTCAATCTGGCCTCTCTGTAGAAGATCATTATAGTTACATCACCTAATATCTAACATGCCCCCAGATATCTATTTTGACATAATGGTTCTGTCAAGAATGGGAACTGCTAGTATCTGCCTTGCCAGCTTCATTCCTTCCAGAAGAGGAATGTTTAGTACGAGATGGGGAGAAAGAAACTGGGACAGGCTTTCTAGATTCTGTTCATGTACCCCACAACAAGAAAGTGTCATTCTTGGAATCCTGCAGTTTCTTTTTCTGAAGAACATCGGAAGTGCCCTGCTGGATCAGACCCCTGGCCCATCTAGTCTAGGAGTCTGTTCTCACAGTGGCCAACTGGCTGCCCAAGGAAGCCTGCGAGTCTCCCAGCAGATGGCCTTCAGTCATAGCCATTGATCCCCATGACTCCCACGAATTGGTCCAACCCTTTTTTGAAGCCAGCCAACCTGGTTAGTGCCACATCTCATGGTAGAGAATTCCAAAGTTGGATTACGTGTTGTGTAAAGAAACTTTTATACTATCTTGATCTAGTCTACCTTGAAAGCCTGGCACTGCCCCATGAGTTCATCTGTTCTGATGTCCTTTGCAGGTACCCCAAAGGATAGGAGATCAGAATGCTGCCCCAGAAGAAGAAAATGGAGGAATCCCAGGGGTTTGGGGCAGTTGGGGTCCTTGGTCGGCCTGCTCCAGAAGCTGCAGCGGTGGGGTGATGGTGCAAATGCGGCCATGCCTTCCAGGATATTACTATGAAAGGAACTCTCACAAGCCTGGGCAGTACCCCACTTCGGGGAGGGCACTTGCTCATCTCCAGCGCCCCCCTCAAGAAGACCCTCTGCCTCCTTTCTCCGGCCATGTCATCTCTGCCATCCGTACATCGGTGCCTCTTCACAGGAATGAGGAACCACCACAGGCCACCCATCCACGGGCTGCCCTCTCCTCCGGAGGCCGGAATGACAGCCACTGGAGCCGAGCGACCACAAGGGAGGGACGATTTTCTCAGTCTCGGAGACGTAGCCCCAAACCAGAAAGAAGGTATTTTCTTCTTCTCGTTAATATTATGTATTCAATGCTTATAAAACAAGCATTCTTCATGTTCCTGAGCCCAAATGAAAGGTCCGCTATGTGGTCAAGTGCAGTAGGCAGGCCCTTTACTTGGTTGGCCCCCTTATTATGGGACTATCCCCCTCCTTCATGTTACTTAGAGACCTATTTGTTCATTTTTGCTTTTGGCTGGTAAATGTGAAGTTTTTTCTTAAATTGTTGCTGATATATATAGGTTTAGGTGGTACTGGTGAATTGCAGGTATGGATTGACATACAGAGTTTTTCTTACTTTGTTTTCTTTCCTTCTCATTATGTAAACTAGTTAGAGGAGACGGTATTTCTGTGAAAGGTTATTCTGTACATAAATACTTCTAAGAAATCACTAAATTTCCTCTGGAGTCAAGATGTGTCTTCTTCAAAATTTAGGTTGTAGAAGGGTTGCAAGATCAGCTTCCGAGCAGTCAGGCGTAGACTTGTCCCGTTAAGTTTTATAGCTTTGGGGAAAGGACTTGACATCAAACAAGCTCAATTGCAGATGTCTGCATGCTTGGAACATTAAAATAAAATTTCTCTCCCACCCCTGCCAAAGGAAAGACAGAAGCAACAGTTCATAAGGAGCAAATAATGGTAAATAAGGACTCTTCCTCAGTTCTTTGGACGAGAAATGCTTTTCCTAAACATTTTTCCCATTCCTTTTCCCAAAACCTTCTCCCTAGCAGCTTGACAACCAGGGTATCAGTAGGGCCACAGATGTTTTCTCTGGTGGTTGGCTGCCCCCGTCCCATCTACCCTGACATTTTGTAGTCTCTTCTAAGGTCGACTTCTACCTCTCTCCTTTAAGTTTGTCTCTCACCTCTGCTTCTATTTCCTGCACTTCTCTCCTCTATCTGTAAAGCTCTCTCTATGCTTAAGCCTAACCCTAAACCTAAATTTAGCTCTACATGTAGATGTTGACTTCTAGTAAATGAGTGTTCTGCAACCTGTCACACACCCTGTGGCTGCTGTTTTGTCCACAGACCAATCCTTGGTTTTAATGAGCATATCTACAACATCCAGTCAACATTTCAGACATGCTCCAAAGACACAGGATGCCTTTAGCGATCTGTCTTATATATTCGAAAATGCTATTTCCACTGTGATCAGGACCAGTCTTTCTTTTGTGCAAGGTTGAATAAAATCAGGAAACCCCACTGCGGCACCAGCCTTGCCTGGATATTCCCCAAAGGCCCATCTCTGACTACTGAGCCATATCAAAACTCTATCTAGCTTTGTCCGCGCTTCTTCAAAACAACACCTCTCTCTTTTGAGAAGTGCCTCCATTCTTGTTTGCTGTCCTGGATGTTGTTGAGCCTTGCCTAGGACTAGCTGTCTATTTGTTTCAGCCTGGTAGGTCTGGATTTGACAGTTGTGGGATCCACGCTGAAAGGAGAGCAGCTGTCTGTCTGGATGCTGAGAATCTCCCCGTCAGGGAATTTCCTGTGTGTATGTCTCACAGCTGCTCCATGGTAGCATCAAACTGGGCTGCAGAACCAGGCAATTCAATCATCGATCTGGGTTTATGGTAAAAAGGACCTTGAAAGTGACCTTTCCAGCTATCTGACTCTCCTGTAGGGAACAACATTCAGCTGTTTTGTTGGCAAGGACAAAGAGAGGTTTAGAAAGAGGGAAAGATTAAAACAAAAACGATATGAAATGGCTTAATGTGATAAGCACAATTTATGTTTGAAATTTTGCAAGAACTTCCAGGAGCAAAAGTAAATAGTGAGTGGACACAGCCAGGAAAAAAATGGCAAAATGTTGTCAGGTGAGTGTTCTACAGAGACCTGTGATACACTGCCAGGAAGTTTTCATTTTACAATTGGGCTGAGGTTATTTATTTATTTAAAATATTTATATGGCTGCCCGTCTTAAAACTAGAACTCTGGGCGGCTCACAACCATAAAATAAAACAATATCAATATATTGGGAAGTTTTGCAGATATTTTGTTCCTCCTCCTCTTTCTCTCTCTGAAGCTAAGACAGATATTGATCAAACCAGAAACCACTTAGAGTTACTTGTATAGTGAGAAATATGGCATACAAGTTTATCTATCTATCTATCTATCTATCTATCTATCTATCTATCTATCTATCTATCTAATTTATTAAATTTATTAAATTTGTATGCCGCCCATCTCCCCCAGCGGGTGACCCCAGGTGGCTCACAATGAAAGTAAAACCCACAAACAATTAAAAAATAAATATCCCTATTAATTAATTAAAACGAATTAATTAATTAAAAAATCAAACTACAAAAACAAGCCCTGTACATAAGAAACTAAAAACATTCAAGATGACGGGGGAGTAAAATCAATTACCCCACAAGCCACTTCCACTGGCGCGAACTCCCATCCGGCCCCCAGGCCATCTGGCATAGCCAAGATTTCATGCTCTTCCTGAAGGCCATGAGAGTGGGGGCACACCACACCTTGGGTGGTAGGTTGTTCCA